ACTATAACATCATATCAAAGACGAAAACTAATACCACTGGTTATAGAATAAAATCTATTCTACAATCAATGTTAATACTATAATATTATACAGTGCAAATTAAAACCGTGTGATTACATTTAAAATGTTAATTGTAGTATCTACTTTATTTGGATAATGTTGCAAGCGCAATCTAATTGCAGGTATATCCGTAGGTCGTCTAAGTTAAAAGTGTACATGAAGAGACGCAAAGTAGTGGGAAACGAGCAAAAGTAAAATATACAGCCAATACCAATAATTAACATAGAGTAGTGCGATTTGCATGTACTATCTTGTATTTGTCTGTCGTACTTTTTTTTATTTCAATTATCATGATCATGAACGCTACCATTATTAGCAATTAATATATTAACATTATAATAGATCAATCGAAAGAATACGGTGTGAAACTTAACGATTTCCTTGTACAATATATTACTCACTTATTCTTACCTATTTAGAATGTAAAAGATTCGACGTATAGATTACAAGTAAAAACTACTTCTATATTATAAAAATACTAGACCAATTTAGACATGCTTTTAATAATTTTAATAATTCTGAGTGTCTATCATCAATACGTTAGACAAGGTATGAACATTTCAACACTTTAATATTATTATTCATAATTGTATTATTGCGATTCGTTATTAAGAAAAACAAAACAATAATAAACGGTTGGCTTTGTTATAAATAATATGAAATATACTTTTAAAAAAAAGCATCGCAGTTGTGAAAGCATGAGGTTCTTTAAACGCAATATCCGAGCGTGGTTTAATTTTTAGATATGAACGAGTAGTTTCAATCGAGATCATAATAATATCTTTTCCAAAACATCGAGATTTTCGCAATTAATATATATATATGACCGTTGGGGACTTAACTAGTTAACTATATACCAACGAGGCCACGAAAACCGGACGAGTGCCGCAGACGAAAGAAAAATGTCTGCGCTATGTACACATCGCACTGCGATACGAACAACAAAATATGATATACGTACCATATGATACGATAATATTATCTCTACAAGCATATTATTATTATATCTCAATCGATTAACAATGCAGCAGCTAAATCGTCTGACAGCCCTTAAATTTATAAATTTAGATCTCAAATTTTACTCACTAATACGCTTAAAATATATTTAAATATATAAAATTAAAAATTAAAATATTTTATAATTATATAACATTTAATAAAGTGACTGCATGTAAGTAAACATAAACAGTCCTCGAGTATAATTTGTATACTTACGGGGTTAAATGCAAATCATTTGTTTATTCAAATTCAAATTTTCCTAATGTTTGAGTTGATACCTTAAATATATACTATCTATCTACTTATTAAACTATTAGTCTATAGAGATAATATTTAATTATCATTTTTCATACTACATTTACGATGTTATTATGATTGTGATTTAATAGAATTTATAGAAGTTTTGACCTATACATATATAGCCCATATTGGAGATAAGTACACGCAGTATATAAATTATGCGCAACTACACAATAAACATTGTAAGAAGCGGTCGTATAGTGAAGAAAAACGTTATAGTGCAAGGAACCGAAAATGATGATAGGCTTACAAAATATACCACATACGCATAAAATTGTGTGGACTTGTTTCACCGACAAAGCCTGCCGTTTTGGCACTGCACAACGATTAATGTACTGGCGGACGATGACGTGAAAACAATTTGATCCAGAAACGAACGATGCGCGGAGAAACAGGCCTGCAACAACCGTGTTTTCCTACGACTGACTAACTGACAATTCGGAAATTATCGCCGTTATATTATATTTGCGAGTGTATAATATTAAGCAACGCATAACAATTTTAATAGGTCAGTTTTGGACCGAACAAAAATCGGTTGAGGTAAGTCAGACGTGGTGAGAAACATTGTCGATACACACTGTAGCTACACCACCATTTTCCTTTAAGGGATAGACCGACGGAAAATATTAAGGTATACCCGTTCGGAAAATAACATAAAACATGCTATATGAACGGCTACGGCGGTGACCTCGACCCTGTTATGATTTATGAATTCGCTGATTGTGGTACACATGGTTTATTCTTTATCAGTCATTACCGATAATTTTCGTCATCGGCTGTCAGTTACTGGATCACGAGATCGAAATTTAAAAAAATGTTGCATTGTCGCGGTCGTCGCAACAAAGAGTTTAGTTACTATGGCGTCTGCTTGTAATGCGGCCGGCAAGGTGTGGCACACAGATTTATAATTATAACAATATTATATAATACCCGTTAAATTAACAATTTAAAACAGGGCTGTCGTCCTTAGGGGACCTTGAACGTCGGAAAAACTAACTTAGAGTTGGGGTCTTGCGTTAAAAAAAAAATTATAGGAAAATTATATTATTTAATACCATTTAAAATTTTAAGTTTCATAGAAAAATAACAGAAAAAAAATGTAAAAATAAAGTATTTATTTAATCTAAAGTAAGTAAATAACGGTAGCGGACGGCTAAAGAGGTATAGTAATACTTTCAAAAATTTCTAAAACTTATTTTGTTCAATGCGCTGTTTATAGCTTTAATTCGCTTCTAATAGATATATAGTATTGTCGATACTAGCTCTTAAAACTATTTTGATGTAATTCAAAGACTTAACTAATTTTCTGCTCTTAACGAAAGTTGAACAATTCTTCTAGAATTAGTTAATTTTTAATCAAAGTATGAATAAATAATTATAATTTGAAATTTATATTAGGCTTTACAATTATTTTCGAATATAATGGTCCTGTTTCAAACAACAGGTTGATGTTAACGTAAGAGACAACAATATTATGTGATTCGATACTGAATTTTAATTTTAAACGTCGTCAAAAGCTTGTATTTAGTTTGTACACACGAGGTACTTGGAAACCTCATCATGTCGAATGCCCAATATATTATTTATTTTTAATTTTGTTTTAATTTTATTTATTTAAGCATCAGGTATCATTACTTTTCAGAGATCCATGAAGAGCCAACGCAAAGTACAGTTACAGTCTTGAAGTAAAAAATAAATAATAAAAATTTATTGTTAGCCACAATCTATAAAATAATATGACAATTTAAATATTTTATGACTGTAATATATATTAATCGATGTTTAAACGTCTAAATGGCATACTATCCGTGCTTACATGTTTGAGAGCCTTAAAAATATATTTTTTATGACGTCATTAATGTGATAATTCTTTATGCGTGGATTACCAACAAAAAACAATTAGTCTAATGCAAATCCCGCCCAACTATATAAAAATACCAAACAACAATTGCGCTGGCACAAACACTGGATATAATACAGGGCAAATATGTTTTTATTATCATATTATAATATTATATACTCACCCCATTTTTATGCTCAAAAACTTAAACCATATGAAATATTTATTTAAAATCAGATTATTTAGTTTTTAATAGATTTAAAAGATTAATAAATTATATTTATTTTTTTTTCAAATGAATGAAAATTATATTATAGATCAATGAAAGATAAAATAAACATAACGATTTATTACAATATAACAATAAGTAATATTTTCCAATAAACAATAAACACATAACTGGGAGGTAAATATTGTCTCATAAATCAAAGAAAGAGCAATGCTATGCTTAAAATACATACACAACGAAAAAATATGCAATACTTTATTTTAAAATGCAGTAACGATAGCATGCAAAAAGAATACTTTTTACTGGGCCACATTAAGGATTGGTGCAATTGTACTGAGTTACAAAATGATGGGGCTTGGAGATAACACGGCATATGTTCACCTGAGAAAATTTTAAGTTAAACTTACACGAATATTGTATTTTTTAGTAATTAAATTTGAATTATGGTTCTAGGATTTCATTATTATATAACACAGAAAAATTTTAACAGAATTGATTGTTATCCTCGTCACTTCACACTACATTATTTATAAATTATCTAAGCTATTATTTTATACACAGCTAGAATCACTTTATTCGACGTTAAACTTTTAATATTCAATGATAACCTTAATTAATATAAAAAACAATATGAATTATATATTGCACAAGGTTTAAAGTAATAATCATAATCTCAGTGAAAATTTAGATACATACTAAATAATAATTAGTTAATATACTAGAGAAATTTAAAAATGATTAATGTATTATTAAAATAAAATAATAAATTATGGATAAGATTACGATTTTATTTTTGAAATGACATAACGATATTGTGCAGTATGCGCACCTACTATGGTCAAAGTGATGGATCGTCCGAAACGTACGAACCTATATTATAAACAGCAGCAGGTCGTCGATCAACGGACACCGCAGCGACCGCAAATATAACCCGTTTGTCGAATATCGACCATATGTTATAACGAAGTCATTGAGAGAATTCTGTAAACCTATAAATATATATATACTTTTTGATATACATCGGACGTTGTTAGTCCGACCTTTTAATTTTAGATACCGATCCACAAACAAGAGCTATATATTAATGGCTTAAAACGATATTAGTGGTAAGAATTACAACGATGTTCAACTTTTTCGAATAGAAGGAATGTATTAAAAAAAAGGTTCATGTCGTGTAACACATTTTCGTTTGCATCGGGAAACTAATTTATTCGAGTCTATGATCTAAATACACGTTGAAAGAGCTATTTTTCGATTTTTTTCAATTTATCTACCAATATCTTATCTATTCTCATATTTTAATCTATCATCATTAGGAGTACCTTTATCGCAGTCAAATGTTTATAGAGATCAAGGTGTAGGTTAGGTTATGTACATTCCAATACTATACAAATAGATAATAATTGGAACCTAAAAGATACAAGTTATAATATTATTTGTCTTGACTCTAACAGGTAACAAAAACTATAAAATACGTTAATATGATCGCAGTGATTTAATTTAGTTTTCTTATTTGCATTGGCAAATAGTGATACAAAGTATTAATAATATGTTTTTGCATGCACTATTAAACAAAATATATTATTTTATATTTTTAATTTAAGAAACTTAAACGATTTTGAATTAATTTAAAAAATATATTCTTTTTAGTTCCTAGATACAACAATGAAAGTTAAAATTGCAGCTATACTGATTTTAAGGATTATCCTTATCGACGGATTCCTAGAAGATGGCGTGACGAATGAAAACAAACCACATACAGGTAAACATTTTAAATACGATAATTTAATTTAAATATTCAAAACCTATTAAACATTATTATGTCTTAACGAAGTATGAAAATTAATAAAACAATTATAAAACAAACAATGTATTAAGTATTTAAACTATGCAACTTATTAAGCATACATAATATATATTTTGAATTTTACTAGATCACTATTACTAAAATTTAATAAATTAATTAGCTTTTAACTTATATTCTATTAATTTTTTATATAATATCAGTGATTTAAGCTAAATTTATTTATTTATTATTTTTTTTTTTTTAAGAAAGTAATTGAAATGTAAATAAATAAATGTCTGTAATTCTCTGTATTAACTTCAATTTGTTTAGCATTTAGTAATTCATTGTTATCATATTATATTGAGCTTTTGCAAGGAAATCAATTATTTTTTTTTAAACATTTTTTCACAGACGAATATGACATCACAACGATTTATAAAACAACGGCAGTTCATAATGTTGAAGAAGAAGACAATCGTAAATATTTAATCAAACAAAGAAATAAAACATTTTACTATTGAATATATTATTTTCAGAAAAACCTATCAATAATTCTGAGCGTATATACTACGATGTAAAAATACATTTGAGAACAAATGCGATTGGTATGCCGATTAATTTTAACGGTTTCATTTTGAGTTCCGATAAGAAAAGTTTAGAACTCATAGCGGACACTAAATATCTGACAACATTAAACAATATTTTTACAAGAAACCAAATCGAGTACAACCCCGATGAATGGACCATCTCGGAATTATCTATGTCTAATGGAGCGGAACCCCCGAAAAAGTTCAATTATGATTTGCTCTTATGGAAAGCTAATACCAATGAAGAATCGTTCGAGATCAAATGGAAACAAATAAATTCAATTAAAATGTGTATATCTATATCCTATTTACTAGAAGATGAATCGAAATGTACTTTGTCAATGGCC